AACTGAGTGAGAAAAACAAGACGGAAACAGCGAGACCGTGGTGTGGAAAGAGATACGGAGAAGCACAAAGGGACAGTGAGCACAAAGGAAGGGAAATAAGTTTAAATTTCTTGGCCTTGTTGTTTTTTTTTACCGTGCTCTTGTCAATTTTGTTAGCTGAGTTTTTTTTTTCCTTTCCTAGACACTACATTTGCCATGACAATAGGGAGACTGAATTTAATTAAATTCACAATGAGGACAGGGAAATGTTAAGGGAAAAGAACAAAGGACGACAGGAAAGATTATGGTGGGGGGGGGTTAGGGTGGGATAGTTAAACCCACAATAAATGAGTGCATGCCTTAACTGGTGGAATGGCTCACTGGGTCACTGGGCCAGTATATGAGCACACTGTTGACAGGTGACCACTGCTCCATGCTGGGGGGAGGGAGTCACGAAGGACACCTCCAGTATAAGTTATGGCCTGCTTTTGTTTCATTCTTGGGGAAAAACACCCCCTCCCCCTTTCTTGGACCAGGGAGATGGCAGGAACCAGGAAGGGAAGACGGCCCAACCAGCATACCAGCATTTCTTCAGACAATGGGTGTGACTGATGTGACTGGAATTCATGGCTCAGGGTCGAGTCTTCATGGGCACCCCCTTTATTTAAGCTGGGGGGGGTGTGTTATGGCTGTTTTAGGGGGGCTTTGGGGGGGGGGGGGTTGTGTCGGTATGTCCTCTGGTTTTACATGTGTATTGATTCCCAATAGCAGATAGTGTTACATGGGAAATTGTTGGCTGGTACCCATATGATACCTTTCAATAGCTTAGGATCGCCACACTAAGTCAGCTTCTAAACCAAGACTCGAGTTCTTTATTGTCAATACAATTATGTACAAGTATTCAGTGCATTGAAATACCGTTTCCCAATGGCCCTCTGTGGTGCTACACATAAATACAATCATAACAAGTGTATGACACCCACAAAACAATACATAATACATATCAAAAGTGTACAAAACCATGTTTGATTTTGTACGTGTGTGCAGTGCAGTCCAAATAATGTGGAAATGTAATTGAAATAAAGACAACAAATAGCATTACTGGAGGGTACACTGGAGGGCATCTTATGGGGGTAGGGGCAGTCCTTGAGGTTGGGGGAGTCTACTAGTGGGTGCTTGGTTACTTTAAAAATGTCAGATAAAATGGCCCTTCCAATCCATCAATCCATATCCTTTCCCTAAGTCAGTGCAGTTTCTGCCCTCCTGTCCTACGTTAGCCTCCCTAGACGTGTGAACAAAGCACATGTGTGCTCGAGAGCGTATGTAGGACAGCAGAGTTCTTCCTTAATTAAACGTAAAGCGGCTTGGGCCCGTGGCCGTTTAAACCCCCAGGGCGCACCTCTTTAGCAGCGTGCTAGGATTTGTCGTTAATTTGCACACCCCTCCCAGTGCAGTTGAGGACCAATGACCCATCTCTCAGATTGGCTTTCGGGGATTACATGGGTTCCGTAAAGTGGTCTGGGGTAGTATTACCGGGGGGGCTGGATTAGACTGAAACTGGCCTGAAATACATACCCCTTCAGAACCCCCCCTCCCCCCGCCCCCAAACCAAAACACAATGATGACACCACAGTTGACAACCTTGCTCCTGTCACAATCTGCTGAGGACAGAAAAGGTTTAGTCACAAAAAGACAGGAAATTATCCTTGGGCCTTTTTCTCTTTTATTTAAGATTGGGTACCAGGGAACACATGATGTTCGTTTACATTCAAAATCATAGGATCAAAAACATTCTTGAAATCCGCTCATCTCCACTTTGTTAATCGGCTTTGACGGGGTTAAAATGATTTGCCCTTTCTGGACCAGTCTGTTGAGAACCACTGTGGTTTGAAGATCCTGATGTTCCAGTTTTCGACCGACACTCCTGGACATGGGAGAATAGCATCAGCCATTTCTGATAGGCGTTTTTACGTTTTAGTAAAACAACTGAATGAGAAATGCAGTTTTCAGTTTTTGGTTGAAGCCCAGAATATGTAGACCCAATTCTTTAAAAAAAATAAATTAAAAAAAAGATATCTAATTGGAATAAGTGGTTGAATTTCATTAGTCCTCTAACTTGCAAAGCAGATGACCTGGGTGAATGATTGCACAGTAACCTAGCAACGCATGTGTGCAATATACGGTTTGGTTGCAGGGGGGCACTGCTGATGTTGTATAGTCACCTACCCCACTGGTCCCCATTGTCCGGAAAATGCTGTAAAACCACAGGACCGCGGGTATGCTGCAGGGAATATTTACTTTGGAAAAACACTGTATCACTGCTGGGTGCCATGAAGCTTCCCCTAAAGTTGTTAAAGGGGACAGCCTGAGCTGAATCACAAAGCCACCACGCTCTAGGGCAGGACTAGGCGACTTCAACAGCAAGTGTACCAAACAAGAAATCACTTGGGTCTCATGAACCACACCAAAGACTTTCTGGCAGCATAACGTAATACTGCAATATAACATTAAAAACATTACTACCTAACATACTACAGGGCTTTACCTATAAATAAAACACCATTATTATAATAATACAGTATCTGTCAGCCTAACTGTTCAATTTGCCATCAACATCAATGTCACAGAAACGCAAAGTGCCTGCAGCTGGTCCATATTCAGAAATGTGAAACATGAATACAGTAAAACAGCATTCAGATTAACAATAATTATAAAACCATCAGCAAGAGTTCCAAGCAGGCATAATGCACTTTTAAAACAGGTCCCTATCCATCAATACTAACACAATAATACGGAAGCCATCCAACTAACAATAACTGTACCTACTCATACTATTAACAATAATACCAGGCAGGCAAAAGATGACAGCAACGCCTGTACTTCACTTTTACACTCAGACCCCTCAGGAAAACTTTCAGAAAAATGAGTCACAATCTGACACATAGTGCCTTGTCACGTCGCATTCTTTTATCACAGCAATGCATTCGTTGCACAATAAGCATATCGGTTTATCTGTTCTTGCAGCTGGCAAAGTACATAAATATTCGGCAGTACATTTGCTCCGGAACCTGCGATTTTCACAAACAACCTCATGTGTTTTAGGCTTGCAGAGGGACAATGTAAACCGTGTCAAAGAAAGCTAGCTTAGCAGTCCAGGCACCGCAGTCTGCAAAGCCGCGACCGTGCAGATGCAATCATGCTGCACCCAATCACAGCGCATTAGTTAATAAAATGTGCCTTATTTTATTTATCATATTACACAAGTGCTTCAACTACTGGCAGCTTCTTGTGGGTCATGGAGGATTTCAAACAGGTCCCATACAGCTTTAGGGCTGCTAGCTGCCTCTGGGTTTGGGGACCCTAATGGCCTCTCCTTGGCTTCACTTTTGTGTTATGTCCCGTTCAGCTGGTTCACATGGCGTGTGGCTCTGTGTCCGTGATCAGAAGGTCATCGGTTCAAATTCTGTGGCCAGCAGTGTGATCAGATCACCGTCGGTTCCTCAATCAAGGCACGAAATTCCTAAAAACTGCTCCAGAGATTCCGGGGAAAAAATGGCTGACCCTGTACTCAGTTCTAATCTCACCTGTGTCTGTGCACCTCAGACGAGGGTGTAACTTTGGCTGGAACATTGGGGGGGTTGAGGGAAACATGATTATTGGGGGGGGGTTGTATTTGCTGGTTTTGATTTATGGGGGGGGGGGGGGGGGGG